CAATAAATAATTGATTTGTTTCAGAACCGCCTTTAATGTATAGGTGCATGCCTCGCGAGTGGTCCACTACCAGATCATCATGGTGCAGATGTGGCACGCATAGGAATACAGAAGTGGTCCGTGAAGGGACCAGCACTGGTCGGGGAAACGGAAATATTGTAAATTGGAAGAGGGACAAATACAATTAATGGTCAATGAATGGAGAACGGGCTGGCCCGGCAATGGTCCGTCTTGGTCCATTAATTTGCGTTAACGGACCAATGAGTTAGGTCTTACCACACTCGGTTGTCATACAACGTTAAATGTAAAACATTACCAGTCATGGACCACTTACGAACCATACTGATCGACCAGTAATTGCATTTAACTGACCAATGATGAAACCTATTTCTGCTAGGGTCACAGCGTCGGTCCTGAATTCCTTCATGGCACGAAACGGTATTAAGTGGAAGACAGTGCTCGCCTATGCGCCTATGTCGAACGGATGGGCAGAGCGGATGGTCGGCACATTGAAGAGAGCAGTCCGTAAGATAATTCTCGGTGCCTCGCCTGCAATTGTTGAGTGGGACGATGCTTTACGTCAAGTCCTATATGGATACCGTCGCAGGAGGATGGCGGTGGGATTGTCCCCGTTCGAGCTGCTTTATAGGGTGTTGCCCAGGATGGCGCCTGGAGACCAAGAGCCTCTCTTCGGAGTCTCCGAGATCCGCCACCGGGAAATGGAACTCCTGCAATCCAGGGCGATGCGGGCAACAAGAATAATCGGGCGCAGAGCTGCAACCACATTAACAGACGGTCGCGAAGCAACTTTCAATGTGGGCGACGAAGTGTTGGTCGCAAAAGGGGCTGCCCTCGGGCCCATGCAGAAATGGCCTATCGCCTTGTCGAAGTTCTATGGCCCATGCCGAGTTGCTCGTGCGCGCCATCCGCGGTACACCCTAGTGTCGCTGCATCAACGCTACTCGAGAAGGGAGATACATGCCAGAAGGCTGGTCCTCTACAAGAGGCAGCCGTTGCACCTTCAGTGAGGCAAATGACTAGGGATTTTTACGCTTTGAATTGAAAGATAGTGAAATGCATATGAAGTGCTGATTGCTTGCTACAAGTAGATACAGAGTGGGTCATGGAGACAATGGGAATCACCAATGACCTCTAATGCTGAATGGAACTTCCCGAACCCCGAATCGCGGCTTTCTTGTGTGCTCTGCGGCTGCTTGCGCGTCCAATTCTGCTCCGTTTCTTCTTGGAAGGGGTGACGACGAGAACTTAGCGCAGTTCTGAGACGCCAACGAAGATCCCGTCGGCTCCAACGCATGCTTTGACCGCGCCGGCGCAGAGCTGAAGCGGAAACCCCTCCATACAATCAAGTACGATGGAATGTATGGTCGAGACGCAGATTCTGTGCATTATGTGGGGCAAGCCTTCTAAAGTCGCGACATAGACACCCGGGTCGAGCCTCAAGAGGAGTCCGAGAGATGGACTACGAAGACCCGACCCGCGGAGAGCGACTTCATCTTGATTAAGGTGTTTTCCAGCGTCATGGAAATCTCGGATTCGACGCGACGAAAGCCGGTCCTCTCAAAGAGGAGGCTGTTGCGGACTAAAAGATCGCAGTACTTGACGGCAAAGTTCGGGGACCCTAGTAGTTGGAGACCGTTGCAGACGGCGGCGGAGATGCACATGTCACTATTATCTCGGAACCGCACGGTCCCGTGTGTGGAAACGCGGTAGATCGGAGTCCGAGGATTGACCGCCCTGGAACGACCATGGATCATCTTCAGACTCCTGCCCTTTTGGTCGGTGCAAAAACGGTCAATACTTAAGAAGGCACTAATTCGGTCTCTCCCACCAAACTGGAAGAGATCGTCAACCATCTTGTGAGTTGTACTATTCCCGGTTCCGGAAATTGGTAGAGTGTATAGCAAAATACGGTGAGGAAGGTTGGTTGCGGCATCGACGCCATAGTACGTGTTGTCAATGTCGAGATAGATGGACTCAATGTTCCACTCACCGTCGCCGATAATACAGTACTGGTTTGTGTCCGACAACGACTCTGTTAGACCAAGACGCCATATCTCTTCGAGAGAGACCTCTTCATCTGGCTTGCGGTGGAGCAGGGCAGTAATATGATCTCCTAGAAGGCTGTTGAACTCTTGTTCTGTTACGGCGTAACGGCGATGCCCGCTGGCCACCCAAATGTGGAACATGGAGCCCGTCTTGGAAACCTTGGTTACATCTGTTCGAGATGAGAGCTCGAACATTAAGTGGTAGCGGCTGGCGAAGCGAGCAGCTTTCAGAGCGAGCTGCTTCCGCGGACGCTTACCTCCCGTGCTCTTCGCCGCTGTCTGCTTGGTCCTCGCCATCGTATTACGCTATGAGGGGGGCCAAAGAGGGCACACGGGGACTGAAACCCCACCTGCGTGCCTCTCGATCTGGCGGGAAACAGGAGGTTTAAACTACGACGAGGACCACGGAGGCAACGCGGAAGAGCGGCGAGAGCTAAGCAGCGCAGGAAGCAGGACGCCAGAAGAGCTAAACCGAGGCTGGGATGGAGCGAGAAATGCGAACGGAGAGCGACGGCAGATACCACAGGAAGGGAAGGGGGGTCCGAGCCCCAGGTCTGTGTTGATATAGGCTGGAGGGTGAAAAAAATCAAAATCAAAGGCAAAATTTGAGTGGCCGGGGCCCGTGGCCCCGCCTAAGTGGGGGGTTGTGTGACACGTGGTTGGGACCGGTGTAAGTAATTGGAAGTTTAAGTTAGTAATTGTAGACCGCGCGCAAAAAGAGTACAAATGCGGTGGTTTTCGGTCGTCCTGTACGGCCGAGGACAGACACATCACAAAAAAACACACACGGGTAAGACACGGGACGACGTACCCCGTTTTCGCCCTAACAACAGCCATGTAAAATTTACTATACCGGTACTGTGCGCGTGCGAAGCTGAAGGTAAATTACTACCTGCAGTACTGTAACCTTTTTCTCGACCTTTAATGTTTAAAAACAAAGTGCACCACGGTGCGGTGAGCGATCATCGCTCACACTTTCAAATTATATACCTAATGTTGATTGCGAGGACAAATGCATACCTTTAAATACCGTTGGTATCCACACTCTGTCGCCGCATAGTCCGCTGTTTGGGAGAGGGGAGTTCGTGGCAGAGTGGACAACCGGTTGCTGGTGGTGCAGTTGACACTCTGCGCCTGCGAGGCCCTGGGTTCGATTCCCGCCCGGTGCCCAACTTGGTTGGGTTCGATTCCCGCCCGGTGCCCAACTTGGTTGCGTGCCCAAGTTGGTTGAGCCACTTGGGCACCCAACCAAGTTGGCCCGGGCAAAATTCGTAGCTTACCTAGTTACTTAGTTACTTTCTTTTTTTTACTTTCTTCCTACTTTCTTCCTACTTTCTTCCTACTTTCTTCCTATTTTCTTCCTACTTCTTTCTGCTTTCTTTCTGTTCTCTTTCTGTTCTCTTTCTGCTTTCTTTCTATTGCCTTTTTATTGTATTTGTATTGTATTTGTATTGTTCCTCCTCTCCTCACCAACCTCGTCTTGTCTATGTTCATCTACTTGTTCGTCTCCGTTTCGATCGAGTTCAAACGCGCACGGGTCTTAGCGACAAACACTTTTCTCTCTCCTCTCGCTAAACATATTCCTTTTACACATTACGCAATCCAAATACTCTAAAACTAAGCCTTTCGCCCTTCCAACGTCTTCCCGCTGCCTCCCCCCCCCAAATCCATCATCCTGCACACTGCCTCTTGCTCACGAGACCTCCCTCACCCGCTACGCTCCCTACTGCCTGCCATCTCGGCTTCCCGGCACGCACAGCAGCCCGAGGCGTTAGCGATGACGTCCCCACGTCCCCACGTCCCCACGTTCCCACGTCCCCACGTTCCCACGTCCCCACGTTCCCACGTCTCCACGTCCCCACATCCTCACGTTTTTACCCTCCCCCGTAGTACACAGCCCAAAATGTGGCGTTCCGAAGTCCGCGACAGGAAGCAGCGGGACCAGCGAAATGCGTGGAATCAGGGGAGGCGGAATGCAAATCGATCGTATGCATTTAATTGGTTGGATCTGTCCCGTATGGCGCGCAGTGACGTCATTTGTCGAGGGGTTTCGGGAGCGGAAGACACCCGGAATCTGGAATCGATGAACATGCCTCCAGACGTCCGGCTGAAGACACGCACCGAGGGTCCTTCCAGGCAGAAATCATGCTTGAATCACGATCTCGAATCACGATCTCGCCTGCGCTCATGCGCTCATGCGCTCATGCGCTCATGCGCTCATGCGCTCATGCGCTCATGCGCACGTCAGATCATCCACTCACTGTCTGTCTCTCCTACGATAAATGTCGACTCTCACTTCCACCCTCAGACAAATGCACCTCTGTACATCAACAGAACAAACACACGTGATGCACCGGACTGTGCGCCTCCCTTTCCCTTCCCGACATCCACCTTAACCCACCGCACCGACCGCACTGACCGCACAGACACCTCCGACACAACCGCTTCAACCTCGGCTTCCATTCTGTTTGGGCCGTGGTTCACGAATACGAGTCCTCTCTTTTGAAAGGTAAGTCTCGCACTGGTGTCCCGGCGACCGCACCAAAGAACATATGTGAAATGGGCGGCCTCCTTGCCTGCGAGACTTACCGCAACAGCGCTTGAGAGAGATGCTGTTGCTAACGCGAGTCACCGCTTGTTTTTTCGGCGCTTTTCGTTCTTTCTGTTTGTCTTTCTTTCCTATTTACACGACGCACTGGCACTGTTTCTTCTTTTTTTGCCGTGCAGGCAACGGACTGGCACCCAGACGTTTTGCTCACGTTCCAGGACGTCCATCTTGGCCTTCCGGGTCAAGCACGCCAGAGGTACGGTTTACACGCAGACATATAGGCAGAAGAAAGAGCGATCTGAAAATGCGGTTTGGTGTTTCTTCTTTCTCTTCTTCTTTATGCACGCAGGTGAATGTTATATTAAAGAACTGGGTTCAGATTTCACATGTACGGTACAGTGTAGTAAGAGTCTTTATTGGTAAGAATAGAGGTGTTAAACGTTTCAAACGTTTCGTTCGCACGAAAAGGTTTGCCAGCAAAGGAAGAAGGGTAGAGTCTGCAAGCGCGGAAAATTGCGAAACACAGAGGCGGAAGCAAAAGGTTACCGAGAATGACACACGATAACAACTGGCTGTTGTGCTGATTGCGTGAAGAGTGGCGGCTGTCGGCGCGGCATACTTAACCTTTGGGGTGGTACGGACGGGCGAATGGTATCTGCGGTTTTGATACTTGTTTCTTGCCAGTCACACGCCTCCCGTACCTCGCATTAACCCCGCCCCCGTTTTGGCTCTCGACGGCGCCGTCCCCTTGTGCCGCGCCCGTTCTCCACCAACCCCTTTTGCCTCCTTGACCCCCTACCTACTGCCGTCGTCTCATGCCAATTGTCCGGCACTCACACCATCGTCGTCTACGGCCCTCTGTTCTCCCTCTTCCGCATGCTCTCTCCCTAATACACCCTCCGTCGCCGCAGCACAGTCCCCTTCCCACCTCTCAGTTACGCTGCCATCGCTTTCGTTGAATACCCCCGCTCTCTACCTAATACACCCTCCGTCGCCGCAGCACAGTCCCCTTCCGACTTCCCCTTCCGATCTCTCACACCATCGTCGTCTGCGGCCCTCTGTTCTCCCTCTTCCGCATGCTCTCTCCCTAATACGACCTCCGTCGCCGCAGCAGAGTCCTCTTCCGATCTCCCCTTCCCACTTCTCTGTGACGCTGTCATCGATTTCATTGAACACCCCCCAATGTCCCCAATGTCCACGCGCCCCTTCCCCTTCCAACCGCAAGTGGCGAGCAAACATCCTCGAGTGCTTCAATACAGTCCCCATTCCCTCCCATCTCCTCAGTCGACGAGTATGCAATGATTTCCAGCGCCCAGCATCTCCAGTTTTGTCCCTCAATTCACTCCGTCGGAAGAACATGCTTCGCATATGACCTTTCTCACAAGCCCCACATCATGGTCACCGCTCACAATTAAATTGATTCCAATACCCTACAACCTAACCCCCCAATTTCTCCAGTTAACGTTCCGCACCGCCCACATCCCGCCCAACCCGCCCAACCCGTGCTGGAAACCGGATCGGGAGCGCAACACACCCGGAATGTAGAATCGATAAACATACCTCCACCTCCAGACTCCCGGCCGAAACACCTTTCACACTTAAAAAATGCAGACACGCACCGGCGCACCGAGGCTCCTCTCCCAGCAGCGGCGGAGAGCGCGGAGAGCGCGGAGAGCGTGGAAAGATTGGAGATGCCAGGGACAGTAGGGATGGTGGGAGATTACAGAGAATGGGAATTCATGGGAGAGGGCCAAAATGTCGGCAAAAATATGTCGTAAGTGCACGTACCCAGGGGGCGTGTTCTCGACGTGGACACGTTTCACATCCGGATCTCGAACACCTGACACAGTACCCTTGGTACAGTACATGGCAATCACAGCCATGTACTGTACTGTGCGCGTGTGGAGGTGAAGGTACCTACTTTTAAAAAAGTAATGTTTAACCAAAGTGCACAATGGTGCGGTGAGCGATGATCGCTCACACGCAGAAGCGAGTTTTTTACTTGTTCAATTCACTGTAACATGCAAGCCGCGGACAACCTTCAAATTATAGAAGCAATGTTGATTGCGAGGACAAATGCATACCTTTAAATACCGTTGGTATCCACACTGTGTCGCCGCAGAGTCCGCTGTTTGGGTGAGAGGAGTTCGTGGCAGAGTGGACAACCGGTTACTGGTGGTGCAGTTGACACTCTGCGCCTGCGAGGCCCTGGGTTCGATTCCCGCCCGGTGCCCAACTTGGTTGCGTGCCCAAGTTGGTTGAGCCACTTGGGCACCCAACCAAGTTGGCCCGGGCAAAATTCGTAGCTTACCTAGTTACTTAGTTACTTTCTTTTTTTTACTTTCTTCCTACTTTCTTCCTACTTTCTTCCTACTTTCTTCCTATTTTCTTCCTACTTCTTTCTGCTTTCTTTCTGTTCTCTTTCTGTTCTCTTTCTGCTTTCTTTCTATTGCCTTTTTATTGTATTTGTATTGTATTTGTATTGTTCCTCCTCTCTGTGGTGCAAGGAACGATGCCCGAGTTTACTGAGGGAGACGGACCGTGTGCGACTAAGAAGGGGAGCGGCGCCGGTGGCGGCGGCGCTGCCTGGGGAGCTACATCTGTGCTACGTGTGTGCGTGGTACAGGTGTGTGAGCTGTGCATGGGAATCATGACAGTGAATCATGACAGAGGGCGCAGGACGGCCGCATAGCGACATAAATTGGACATGGGAATCATGACACTCCCCCCGTCGCTGTGTGGTCGTGCTGCGCGGGGGGTGGGGGGGCGGCGGCGACGATTTGGAGCTTCGCCGTGAGCTTTCGGAACGGCTCCGATCGTAGCGGCTTCGTGAATATATCCGCGAGCATGTCTTCGCTCGGGACGTGCTTCAGGACGATGTTGCCGTTGCGTGCGTGATGGGACAAGAAATGGTGCCGGAGATCAATGAACTTGCGGCGTTTGGTCGGTCCCGTGTTTCGTGCGACGGGAATGGCGGATTGGTTGTCCATGAAGAAGGGGGTGGGGTGGGGGCTGAGCATGCGGATATCTTGGAGGGTCCGGCGAAGCCATGCAGTTTGCTGCACTGCGGCGGTGGCGGCAATGTATTCCGCCTCGCACGTGGAGAGGGCCGTGATGCTCTGTTTCATAGATGCCCAGCAGATCGGAGTGCCATTGTATAGGTGGACGATGCCAGATATTGATTTCCGGTCGGTGACATCTGCCGCGTGGTCGGCGTCCGAGTATGACGTGAGCAGGGGGGTGTTGGAGATGGGTTTGTCAGCGGTGTTACTGACTTGAAGGGGGATGTTAGCAGCGGGGAAGAGGAGCCCGTGCTGGGGAGTGTGACGGAGGTACCGGAGGACGCGTTTGAGGGCATTCCAGTGCCGGGTTGTCGGGGCTTTGGCGGCGACAGACAGGCGGTTGATGACAAAGTAAATGTCTGGGCGCGTGGAGTCGGCGATGTATCTCAGGTCACCGAGTATTTGTTGGTACTCTTTCAGTTGGGGGTGTTTTGAAAGAGGCTCATCTTGGTCCGTGGATCCGTGGAGGCGGATTCCGTCCTGGTACGGTGTGGGCTTACCGTTGGCGATATGCATCTCTGCTTTTCGCAGGATGCATGCGGTGGCGGTGGGCTGGGATATGTGCAGCGCGCCGTTGGCGGTGCGCTGTACTGTCCATCCGAGCAGCGTGCGGGGTTCACCGAGGCGCTTTATGGTGTACGCCTTTGTCAGCAGGTTTGCGAAATCGTCGAGCAGCGCTTGTGTGGTCGCTGTGACGGTAAAGTCGTCCATGCTGATCGCCACGAAGGTGGCCGAGGAGGGGGATATTTTGTGGAAGAGGCAGGTGTCTGCCTCGGATTGGTGAGAGCCATCCTTGGTGAGGAGGCCGAACACGGCTTGCAGGTATGTGAATCCTGCTTGCGGGGTGCCATAGAGGTTCTTGATTAGTTTACCTCCTTTGCATTTGTGCTTGTACGTTCCGTCGAAGCGGGGGTGCTGACGGACGTATACAGGCTTTTCCCCATTGTGGTCGAAGTCCTCGTGGAGGTACGCGGCCTCAATGTCGATGTGTTCAATGAGGAGGTTGTGGGCTGCGGCAATGGCGAATAGCAGGCGTACCGAGGACTTATCTGCCATGTAGGTTGTAGTACGTTCGGGATCGTAATGAACGTTTGGCAGCATTGTGTCTCCTCGAGCCGCGCAGCGCGCTTTTCGTTTCGTGACGTTGCCGTTTTTGTCGCGCTTGTAGCGGTACGCCATCGTAAGGGGAATGAGGCGCGTATTTCGCGGGAGTAGGTGGTCGGGTGTCCACTGTATGACACGCTTTGTGTCGAGCGCATCGAGCTCCTGGTTGTGAGCGGTGGACCAGAGGTCTGCATCGGGGTATTTTCGTGCTTGCCCGCGGTTGAGGGGGGCAGGCGTGGAGACCGATAGCTCGTCTGGTGTACGGTGGGGGGTGTGCGCCTTGAAGGCGGCGGCGGAGGTCATTTTGGGGTCTTGTGTGCGGAAGTAGGGGTGGAAGTCTACTGTGCGTATTCGGTGAGTTTTGCTCGTGTTGACGTCCAGTGCCATGATGTGGCGATCGTCGGTGGGGTAGAGGTACCGTACGGTGCGGGAGCGTGAGTGCAGCTTGGAGAGGGTTGTGGTGCGCTGGCGGGGGTCAGGGGTGGTGCCTAATTGTCCAAAGATGTGAAATTGGGTGATTTGTGGCACCGATTGGTGCCATTGGGTGGCGGGGAGGGCGTGTGTGCTGTGATGCATGGTGTGATTGTATTTAAATGTTGCATCTCGCACTGCGTCCTCCCAGTGGTGTTGAGGGAGCTCACTGTGATGCAGAGCAGCTCGAGCTGCATTCAGTAGTGTACTGTTGATCCTCTCTGCGAGGCTGTTCTCTTGAGGGGTGTAGGGGATGGTGGGAGAGTGGCTTGTGTTGTGCTTGGTGTATGTTTGGATGGCTGTGGCAGAGAGGTACTCGAGTGCGTTATCGGTGCGTATGATTCGGGGTTGGTGGCCCGTTTGCTTGTTGATTGCATTTAGGATGAAATCGAGGCGTTGTGGTGTTTGCGCACGGTTCGGCAGAAAGTCGGTAATGAGGTACCGTGTCTTTGTGTCGAGGACCGTTAGGATGTATTTGTTTTGCTGGTGAGAGGGGGGTGCAATCGGGCCACATATATCACTACTAAGTGAGAAGCCCGTTGGGTAGTGGTGGGCAGTCGGCTTGTGTGGGCGAAGTCGTTGCTTGGCGTGCGCACAACTTGAGCACGTGATACGTGGGGCGTAACGTGCGAGGGAGGGTGGGATGTTGGGGAGCAGTCCTTGTCGTGCCATGGTTTGGATGGTGGCAGGTCGCACGTGGTTTAGTACCATGTGCCAATGATGGAATGCGTGCTCTAGTGCCTCACCGTGTTTGGACGGGGGGGTCGGGGCGGGGTTGGTGAGAGGCCTCGGCGCTTCGTGTCTGCTGTGGGAATTGGGGGGCGGGGTGGTTGCCTTGGAGGGGTGTGGGGTGGTGTTGTTGCGGGCGCGAGCTGTTGTCCGGGGGGTGGGTTTTGTTTGCGTGTGTCTTGTGGTTGGGGTTGTGCGGGCAGCTTGTGCATGGCATGGGTTGGGTGGGGGGTCCAAGTAGTACAGTCCTTTGTGTGCTGTAGCTGTGGCGATGACTGTGGGCGGGCGTGTTTTGGTGTTTATGATGGTTGCGGTGGTGGGGCGGAAGACGACGGCTCCATATTGGCGGGCGATGTCGTTGACAGAGACGAGGTTTTTTTTGATGTCCGGGTTGGCGATAGCCGGGAGTGATAGGACTTTATTCCTGTTCGTCGTGATCTGGATTGTGCCGGCATGGGTGGCGGACGACGTCGATGAGGTGGCCGTGTTAGTAGTCATGCGCGTGGTGAGGGGGCGCATTGGTGGAGTTGCCTGTGTGACATGGGTCGGGCTTGCGCCTGAGTCTAGAATGTATGTCATACCGTCGGTATTAACCTGGTCCATTGTGGTTTGGAAGGCGTTCGGGTCTTCGTTGTGGTGGGGGTCTGCCGTGGCTGCCAATTGTGCTTTGGCGGGGCGGCGGGTGCGTGGTTGAGGTGGGGTGGGGTTGGGTTGCGGGGGAGCGGGCCATTGATGTGGTGCTATCCACTGTGGCGGGGGGGGTGGGTACGGGTTGTACAGTTGTTGTGGTTGGAGCCACGGTGTGTTGTACCACTGTGTGCGTGGGGGTCCTCGTCCGCGCTGGCGACCTCGGGGTCGGGGGGAGGGCTCTTGTCTACCTTTGCGTGATGCGGTGGTGCGGAGCCCCTGGGGGTCAGGTGGATTGGGGGGTGACCGGGTGGTGTGGCGGGCTTGGACTGCTTTGAGTCTTTGCGTCACTTGTATTATTGTTTGGGGGACTGAGTCCGTCTCAGTCCAAGTGTCTGGTAAGTGCTTGAATGTGGGGTGGTGCTCCAGTCCTTTTATGATGGCGTCTACAGTGACGGTTTCATCAGTTCGGATGTGGGGGTAATTTGCCAGTCGCATACGAGTGCGCAGGGATCGGTGTTGATTAATATAATCGTCGACAGATAGTGCGGTGGTGAATAGGAGTCGGTCAGCTTCCTGACGTAGGAGAAGGTGGGTGGTCGGGGAGCTGTCTGTGAAGTGTTCTTGAATGGCCTGCAACAGTGCAGCTGGCGTGGTGTCGAAAGGGATGTCAGTTGTTTCTGCGATTTCGTGAGGGATGCTGTTGGTGATCAGCATGCGGATGGTGGCGCAGTCTTTGACGTATTGTTTGTGTTCCGGCGTGTCCGGAGGTGGCTGGGTATAGTTGGTGTCCAGCGTGTGCTGTATATCATTGATGATAGAGGTGTCCTCAATAGCTTGATTCCAAAGGTTGAAGTTGTTGCCGGACGGGTGGAGGGGCGGAAGTTTGCCGTAAAAATGGGGGGAGCGGTGATCCGGTGAGTTGTGGTCAGTGGTGTGCTCCATGGTAGCGGGAGATGTAGGGTGTGTGGATGGGGATGAGGGAAGGGATTGTGCCGTTGGGGTGGACGGGGGCTCAGATCGGCACTCGACGCGGACGTGCGGAGGCTGGTGGTTGAGTTGGGCTAGGTGAGGGGGTCTGCGCTCTACGCGAGGTGGCGGAGGCGACGTGGGTGATCGGCGCTCGACGCGTGATGGCGGAGGCGATTGGGGTGCTTGGCTGCTGATTCTGCGCTCGACGCGATGGGGCGGAGGCGAGTGTGGAGCTTGGGCGTTGGGTCTGCGCTCGACGCGTGGGTGCGGAGGCGAATGAGGGGGTATGTAGAGGAGGGGGGCGGGTTGGGTGCCCGGGGTGGTGGTGCTCTTGGCTAGTCTTTGTGACGAACGGCGGAGCGGTTTGTGATCGTGTTGCAGGGTGGGTTTGCGATTCGGGACCATAACCTGTGGTGCAAGGAACGATGCCCGAGTTTACTGAGGCAGACGGACCGTGTGCGACTAAGAAGGGGAGCGGTGCCGGTGGCGGCGGCGCTGCCTTCGGAGCTACATCTGTGCTACGTGTGTGCGTGGTACAGGTGTGTGAGCTGTGCATGGGAATCATGACAGCGGTAATGACAATATCGTCTCAGCTCATCTCCCCTTACTTGATACATGACATAGATAATCCAACTGTCACTCCACATGCCATAGCGGAAGTTGTGGCAAGGACAACAATGCTTCACACCATATTGTAACAGAATGCCCTACTCGGATATCTGGTGCAAAAGAGAGTATGCGTAGGGGACAGGGCTTCAAAAATCACGAAAAAGATCATGAAACGTTGTGAGACGGAATGCAAAAGAGCTTTGGATTAGGGCAATGTTGACGAT